TTTCCGTCGACGGACTCCTGTGCATATCACCGACGACTGCTTTCTGTTTCTCCAGCCTCCCGCTGCTGCCTTACGACATATCCGGTCCGACCTATCCCATAACCATCGGCCGCCATTACAACCATTTATTGATATCTTCCCAAGACTCCGTCACCTAAAAGTCTGATAGAGCATCGCTTTTGGGCTTTCGGCTGTCTGCCCATTGTTTATCCGCATATCGAGCTTCCCCTCTTCCTGTTCCTTTGTTTGTTCGGCTTCACCACGACAGCCACCCCGTTCCACTACACACTATTCCAATGGAGTGCATGCGCGATCACCTTCACGACGGCGTTGTGCTACATGGACGATACGAGACCATCTCCCCTCTCAACAATGGCTCCTTTGGCATGGTCTTCCAGGCCAAGGACCTCGTAACTGGCGACAACGTTGCCATCAAGGTCATCACCAAGAGCACCGCCGCCGTCAACTGCCCTTCTGCCTTCGCAGTCGATGAGCGTTCCGAGGAGCTTGGCGTCCACCTGCACCTTGGCGACCACTCCAACGTTGTCAACCTGCTCCAGTCCTTCGAGACCCAGAACCACATCTACCTGGTCCTCGAGTTCTGCTCCAACGGCGACCTGTACGAGGCCATCCGTGTTGGGAAGGGCCCCCTCGAGACCGAGCACGTGCGCGACTTCATGATGCAGCTTGTCGGTGCCGTCGAGTTCATCCACTCCAAGGGCATCTACCACCGCGACATCAAGCCCGAGAACATCTTCCTCACCCAGGATGGCTCCATGAAGCTTGGCGACTTTGGTCTTGCCACTACCGACACGTGGTCTTACGAGATTGCTGTAGGCAGCGACCGCTACATGGCTCCTGAGCAGTACGACCCTGGCAACACAGGCTACTCTACTGAGAAGGCAGACATCTGGGCCATTGGCATCGTCCTCCTCAACATCCTCTTCCAGCGCAACCCCTTCGCTGTCCCATCCACTTCAGACCCTCTGTACGCCGACTTCGCACTTGACCGTCAGAGTCTCTTCGACGTGTTCCCCAACATGTCGCAAGATACCTTCGAGGTCATCAGGCAGTGCTTGGCCATCGACCCCGAGAGGCGCAACCTCAACGCCGTCAAGGATGCCTTGGCCCGCGTCATCAGCTTCACCACCGATGACGAGAGCCTTGACGACTTCTGCACTGAGGAGCGTGACGTCGTCGCTGTCGGAGCCAACCGTGAGCCCCTCCGCACTCCCTCCATCTCGACGCCGCAGCTCGAGAACAACGGTTCGTTCCCATGGGCGAAGGCCTTGGCCATGTCGCCACCTCAGCAGTTCCGTCAGCTCTCAGCCATTCCTGACGACGAGATCTACGAGGACGACATGTTCCCGGGTCCTCCCTACGATGTCAAGCCAGATAGCGCCTCTGCCGTATCTTTTGTGGACTCTGGCTTAGGCTTATCTTTCAATTCGGTTGACGTCAGCGAACCAAAGTCGATGAACTTCACTCGATCTCGGCCCGTTGCTATCTCCGGCTCGCTCCCTGCCAAGAACTTCAACAGTATGTCGTCCGTCTTCGGTAAGAAGCGCGACATGATCTCGAAGAGCTGGAGTGACCTTTGGGATGAGGAGGATGACGATGCGCAGTTCCTCGCTGAGCTTGAGAACAACTGCCACTCTTTCAGTGCCGAGAAGCCCAAGCCCAAGGCTGTTGTCTCCGAAGCCGGATCTGGCGTCTCGACCCCTCGCGGCTTATCTGAGGTGAAGAACCCTGCTACGGTCCACAACAGCAGGGATCGCTCGCCTAAGAACATTCGCTCTGCGGTCGACCATGTCAGCGCGGCGACTGGATTCGTCTTCGAGGAGCATCGCACTCCAGCACCTGCTCGCAGCCCCAAGCGCTCTGCTGCCGACAAGTGGGCTGCCCTCGGCGATCGTCGACGCAGCCCTGCCGTCCAGGCCCAGCAGCAAGTTCAGCAGCAGACTCCGTCAAAGCCAATGAGGTCGCCCAAGTCCGCTGAAGCTCCGAACTCCGCCCGGAAGCGGAGCCGGACTGGAACTGGTCGACGACCGATCCACTGGGGCTCCAGTCACAACGAGAACAACAACCACCCTGTCAGCTCCTGGGAGCAGAAGGTGGACAACTGGTACAAGAGCAAAGATTGGCGCTCTCATACCGATCACGCCCAGATCACGGACGATCTGGGTGACCTTGAGTGGGTGTGGTAAGGCACTGTGACCTGCCACTTGTAGTCTTGACAACTTTTCTTATCCCTTTTTTTCTTTGCTTTGATTTCGAGGAATACGTTGTTTCCAGGAAGCAAGAGTCCTACGATTCCCAATCCTCAACCCTCCACGTTCAAATTGTAGCCGCTAGAGATACCATTTCCTATCTCCTCTCCTCTCTACCTTATACCTGTACACTCCACTTCACCGACGACCTCATCATTTCGAGCTTCTATCTTGTCGCTTGGTATCTCTCCTTTGTTACTTCACCGGTGTGTTTGTGGCTAGCTTCTGGGACTCTTGCATTGTTGGCGGGTGAAAGAAACTGTTCTGATGAAGGCTTTCGTCAAACTGCAAATGCTCAAATATGAAAAGGGAAGCAAGCGGCATCTGGGATGGAGTTTATGTTTTTTCTGTTGGCATCGAGAGGAGCCTATCTCTCCTCTTTCACAATTCGCTTCTTAGGGATGATTAGTTAGTCAAGACTCGTATCCGTCGGAGATCCCTTTAGCAGTGGCACCGCTTCGCAAAAAGTCGATCGGTCGCGAAAAGGATCCGGGATTTACCCACTCATTAGTACGTCTTCTGCAACCAGTGACGATTTCCTTGAATCAAAAACCATTACGGTAGATACCCTGCCGTTTGAGTAAATAAGCTTCTTTCTCAGATTGTATATATATACCTATAGATTTAATCCCGTACGTACATTGTAATTAGATCCAACCCCATAGAACGCGCTTCTCGCGATGAAAACTAGTATTACCAAGGATCATCCATGCACCTGTTCAACGTGCAGAGGATTGATCAACACAACATCGCAGTTCCCATCTTACACATCCATACATACACTTCAACTCCCCGTCCCATCCATCCATCAATCAATCACACCAACCATCCTCCCCACCCCCGTCGCAAACCCCCCCACCAGCCCAAACTCCCCCTCCACATCCTCAAACCCCTTCCCCTCAACCACCATCTTCGCCACGGCCCTCGCACACACCGGTATAATCCCCATCCCGCCCCCATTAAACCCACACAACATCCACTGGTTCCCATCCTTCACACCAGGAACACGGCCGACATGCGGCATCCCATCCGTCGTCTGCGCCTGTATCCCCGTCCAGATACTGTCTGGCTCTGCGTGACTGTCCTCCCAGCCGAGGAAATTGCGCGACATGTAAGATGTCCAGTGGGAGTAGATGGAGGGGGGGAAGTGGCCCGTGAGAGCGGAGTCGTCGACGGTGTTGTACCATAGGGATTTGTTGTTGGGGTGGGAGGAGTGGGGGGAGGAGTGGGTGTAGAGCCAGGAGCCGCCGCCTACGACGATGGAGCTGTCGGGGCGGGGGTTTAGGTAGTCTGTTCCTGTTGGGTGGCCGGGTGATGAGGGGGCGAAGGCGATGTTGTAGGTGTTAGATAGGTGGGGATGGATGGGATGGGTGGGGGTGTGGTGGCTGTTCATTCCTTTGTAGGGGGTTATTGTGCCGAGGAAGGAGGGGAGGAGGGAGGGCGTGTAGGCGTTTGTGGCGTGGATGAGGGAGGTGGCTGTGAGGGTGCCGCGGGGGGTGTGGAGGGTTGTTGTTGTGGTGTTTGTGTTTGTGTTAGAGGTGTTGATGGGGGATGTGGAGGTGGTGGTTAAGTGCGTGACCGGCGTATTCATCTGCACGTTCAACACCCCCTCTTTCCCACCATCCCTATCCCTATCCCCATCTCCCCCACTCCCACCAAACCTCCCCACCAACACCCCAAGCACCCCCGTAACCAACTTATACGGCCAAAAACTCGCAACCTCGCACGTAAACGCCCCCACCGCCCCTTTCACACTAGTAACCCCCTCCACAAACTCTCCCTCAATCACACTCCTGCTCTTCGTCCACTCCTCCCCTTTCCTCACCGCATCATCATACACCCTCTTCACCTTTTCAAACTCCTCCCTATCTTGAAAAACATCAAAACTACGTCGGAGTTCAAACTCGCATTCTTGAGCTAACCCCTCTTCCTCGACTAAGGATTTCAGTTCGTATATCACGCGTTGGTGGTACTCCGCCATCTGCGTTCTCATCTTGCTATCTTGCATACCCGCCAGTGTCGCCGTCTTAATCTTCGAGTGTCCGCCGTTGCGGGCTGTGGCGCCGCTGCAAAGGTCACGGGCGTCGAGGAGGACGACGCGGGGCATGCGTTTTCCCGTCTCAAGAAAATCACGATGGCTAGCCTGGAGGATGTGGTACAAGGTTAGTACACCGGCCATTCCGGAGCCGATAATCGCGATGTCGCAGGTTGAGGGGAGGGAGGGGGTGCTGCGGAGGGTGGCGTAGGGATGGGGGGTTTGGAGCCAGTAGCTGGGCATGGGGTTGGGGACGGGGAGGTAGTCGTGGGGTTGTTTTGGGGGAGGTGTGGTGGAGGGGGGATTGGGAGTGGGAGTCGGCGTGACGACCTTTCGGAGAACCATGTTTGCGAGTGAATTGAAGATGTGTGGTTGTTGGAGTAGAATGCGGCAACAACGACTGTTTATACATGTAAGATGTTGATCTACCCGTTATTTGGGGGCCGTTTCGTTGTGGCTTACTTCGGCGTTCGGGCTAAAGTCAGAGGCGTTAGATGTCGCATCTCACCTTCCATTCCGGTTGGCTGCGGGTGTTCTTATCGGTAATCGTACGTCAGTTTACGGGTATAAGCGCATGGTGAATCGGAAGAAGACCACTTTTGACGATCTTTGGATTTTGACTAGTATATAGTCGGGGTATCATGGAAAGGAAATGGGTTCTAGCTCCTACACGAAAACGAGTCCGAACGACGGGACTATGGCACACTCGGTGTCGTCGGACTCGTCAGCCCGCCTTGACTCTTCCTCCTGTCCTTCTTCTTCTTGGGAGCGGGAGCGATAATGCCCTTTTTACCCTGTGCTTCCAGTGTCGTCGGCGTCCCTACCGCCTTTGGTGTGCCCACTGCAGATGGTGCTCTGCTTGGTGGCTGTGTCTCGATTTTCAGCCCTGCAGCAGGTGTAGACAGTGAGGCTTGTGTTGCTTGCTCTTGTGCCTTGTTCCTCGCATTCACAGCGGTCTTGGTGCCCTCGAACACGAACGCGCCTGGCTCGCCCTTTAGCGGGTTCTCATCCATGTATTCGTCTCCGTATGCGTTTGTGAGATTGAGCGAGTGCATGAACAGCGCGTCTGAGAACTCGGTGGTGGATGCCAGTGGGTCTGTCGCCTGTGCCGTGGCTCCTGCTCCTTGTGACTGTGAGCCCGCTGCGTCTGGGTCTGTTGGCGCCAGCGCTGGACTACCTATTCGACTCGCCGTAGTCGCCGCTTTCGCCGCTTCGTGTGAAGGAGGGAAGTACGAGTATCCCGTCGCAGGTGTCCAGTGTGTCATGTTTTTGGATATCTCAGCCATCTGCTCCATGCGCGTCGCGACGGTAAGCAGCCTACTCTGCACAACGTCCAGCAAACTCGGCGCCATAAGAACTTTGGTGTTGTGCGTGTACCAGTTGCCCTCGACAAACATGCCATTCTTCTTGTTGCCATCATAATCCGTGACCTCGGCCTTGTGTTGGCGCTGGAGAATCCATGGGTGCCCTTCGCCCTGCCCTTCGCCTGCTATAACGTATTGTATTCCTTGCGGTACACTATTGAGTCGTTGATTCCACAGCGTCGGGTCATTCATGATTTGTTGGGCATTGGCCGGGTCATGGAGGTTGAGGTTGGTGAAGACGGATATGTTGATGCACTCCTCGGCATCGAACCATGGCGACGAGGTGAAGTACCAGAAAAGGTTGTTTCCGGCATTCAGGTCTTGCCCGGGCAGAGTCGCGATGGTCGAGGGCGCATCGTATTCTTGCTCGTCGGGAGGTGGGAGAGTCGGAGGCATCTTGGCGGTGGGGTTTGTGAGTGAAGAGTGTCAGGGCTGTCTGGCAGCTCTTGAGGTTGGTGATGGAGAAGCTATTGGTAGGTAGCACGGGCCTCTCACCTCCGCGTGTTGGCCGCAATCAACTTGCGCCGTCTTCTGCATACCACTACCACGACAACTCAACACCATGGATCTCGTACAGACAGTGCGAAAAGAAGGCAACCGGTAAGCTTAGTCATTTGTTGATGTAAAGCATCAGCTAACAGTACCCAGTGGTGGTCGCGCCGACTTCAAATGGGAAGACGTCAAGAACGATGCGCAACGCGAAAACTACCTGGGCCACTCGCTCATGGCCCCCGTCGGTCGCTGGCAACAAGGACGCGACCTGAACTGGTACGCAAAGGGCGACGAGGAATCCAAAGAAGCTGAAGCCGCGCGCATCAAGGAAGAGAAGCGCAAACTGAAGGAAGCTGAGGAAGACGCCATGCTAGCTGCCATGGGTCTGCCCGTGCCAGTGCGCAATAACGCGAACCTGACGCCACTCGGCCAGAAAGCACACGAGGCAGACGTCAAGGATACGCTAGATGAGAAGGCCAAAGTGGAGGACGACGGCGACAAGGCGAAGAGGAGGGAGAAGAAGGAGCGTTCACGGAGACACAGAGATGACGACGGAGAGCGAAGGAGACGTCATCGATCGCGGAGTCGTTCGCGAGACAGAGAGCGACGCCACAGACATCGAGAACGTTCATGGTCGCGCGACAGGCGGAGAGATGATGGGCGCGATGATAGGCGCAGACACCGATCACGAAGCCGCGACCACAAGCGACGAGACGACCATACAGAACGCAGGCGAGAACGCGATGTCGATGCGAAGTGGTCGAGGTCACTCTCGAGAGACCGGAGACGGCGAAAGGACACGAGGAGCAGGTCACCACATGAGAGGAGTGAGAGGAGGAGGGATTGAGGGATTGAGGAACGTGGCAGATACAGCGAGCATATCCTCAAAGCAGTTCTAATCGGACTATGGGCGTTCTTTAGATTTCTACCGGTATGGTGCCACCCAGTTCAAGCGTTCATGAGAGCTTATGTAGCTTTAGCGAAATCTTCACGTTGGACATCCAGACATTGATCCAAACGAAGTTCTCGCGATTCTTCAAACAGCAACCTAATCTGCATGCCGCACAAAGTCATCATACGCACCTGACTACCCCAGTCCAAACCCACATATCCCCACGCTGCACGCCTTCCGGGATCTCCCTCTGACTCGGCAACCTCGGCCGGCTCCCCATGACCCCCAAAACCCCTCATCATCAGCATGTAACAATGATACACAGTAGCGTCTTCGCTATTGCATCCTCACCGCTGCGATTTGCTTTTCCCTTACTTCAAAATCCCGTTTACGTACCCATACTTCGTTGCTTAACAACTCCGACTTGAGCGACCTTGATCCCCATCCATCTACTAACCCCAGTCATCCCATCACCAAACACCATGACCGCAGCACCACCCTCCATACCCGACTGGCGCACCCTCGCCGCTTCGAAACGCGAAGCCGTGTACGCTAAAATACCGAAAGATTGGCGGCTGCCTTCTTCTCAGACATCGAAGTATACGGAAACGTCGAGTATATCTGTGCTAGATGTGCCGCGAACATGTGGCATCTTGACCGAGAAAGAGCTAGACATTACTGAAAACTACGATGCCACTGATTTGGTCAAGATGATGGCGGAGGGCCAATTAAGCAGCACAGAGGTCGTGACGGCGTTTTGCAAGAGAGCGGCTGTGGCGCAGCAGTGTGTGAGTTGTCTCACGGAGATTATGTTCGAGGAAGCGCTTGCTCGTGCGAGGGAATGTGATGATTTTCTAAAGAAGGAGGGGAGAGTTATGGGACCGTTGCATGGACTGCCGATAAGTTTAAAGGACTCCTTCAACGTAAAAGGCGTCCAAGCAACACTTGGTTACGTCTCTTTCCTCGCGCACCCACCCGCCGCTTCAAACTCCTCTTTAGTCACTCTCTTGCACTCCCTCGGCGCGGTCTTCTACGTCAAAACCAACCTCCCCCAAACTATGATGACAGCGGATTCCCACAACAACATCTTCGGCCGCACGCTGAACCCGCTCAAACTATCTCACACAGCCGGCGGTTCTACAGGCGGCGAGGGCGCCCTCCTCGCTATGAAAGGCAGCGTATTGGGTGTAGCAACCGATGTAGCAGGATCCAACCGCATCCCCGCGATATGCTGCGGCGGCTCGTCTCTGAAGCCAACGGCAGGTCGAGTCCCGTTCGCAGGTGGCGTCGCAGTAGGTCGGCTGGGCAGTCCAGGTTCCGTTCCCGTAGTCATAGGTCCATGTGGCCGTTCCGTCCGCGACTACGAGCTTTTCATGCGCAGTGTGGGCGACGCGAAACCGTGGCTCTACGATGAAAATAGTCTCAACGTACCCTGGCGCCTTGTCCAGCCTTCGCCTCACCCCCTGCGCTTCGGTCTCGTGAGGGGCTGTAAAGAACGACCGCTTCATCCGCCTATTGCGCGCGCGCTGCATACCACGGCGATGAAACTGAAAGCGCAAGGGCATGAGATTGTGCTGCTGGATGACAAGATACCAGATCTGTACCAAACCGCCTTGCTAGCATGGAAATTCTTCATGCTGGATCCGAAGAAAACACCATTGCAATATATCAAACAAGGAGGCGAACCGCCTGTCCCCTCGCTATCAACATGCTCATTCCCTGAGTTGAAAGATTGGGTACCTAGTCTGGATGAGCTGTGGGATTTGAATGTGCAGAAGGCGGGGGTTGTGAGGGGGTGGCATGGGGTGATGGTAGGTGGTGTTGGTGGTGGTGTTGGGAAGGAAGAGGAAGAGGGGGAGAAGGGGTTAGATGCTGTTCTCATGCCGGGGTATCAGGGTGTGGCGCCGAAGCATGATACCTACGGCTTGCCGATTTATACGGTTGTGGTTAATTTGCTGAATTGGCCGAGTGGGGTGTTGGCGGCTGGGAAGGCGGAGAAGGGGGGTGATAAGGAGTTTGGGAAGGAGGGGGTGGTGTGCGAACCGCCTTGTAAGTGATCTTTGCGGAACGAGGGAGGGTGATGGCTAACGTGTGTTGCAGATGATGCGGATGAGTGTGAGGGCTTGCCTACGCATGTACAGGTTATGGGGAAGAGTATGATGGATGAGGAGCTGGTGGAGGTTATGAAGGTTGTGGAGGATGTGCTGAAGAAGTAGTATCTGCTTTGATACCTTTCTGCGATTACATGCCATCTTGATGAGCTATGTCGAAATGTCTGTATCTCAAACCCACACCACATAAGTGCATGTCTGCGGCAAACATGTTGGTGTTTAGACATCCAGGGCCCGAAGCTTGCATCATGGCGGCCCTCTCAATCCCCCACCGACATCAAACATCTGCTTAAACACCGTGTTAAGCAGCACACCAGGCCCTATCTTCATCGGCACAGCAACCTCCTTCAACTTCCCCAACACATCTCCTCCCCCCTCCTTCACCGGCTCTTTCGCTGCCATCATCTCCAGTGACCCGCTCTCGCCGTCACCACAATCTCTTCCCTTTCTATACCAATACTCCGGCCAAGAATGGCCATTCCCATCTTCCAGCCCCGTTTTCTCCACGATATGGCTTGCACCTGGTGAAATACCCAGAACTTGTACTCGCGAGCCTGAACTGCTCAGATGGTACAGCATCTGTGCTGTATAGTGCTGCATAACCATCTCGTCCAGTACAGCAAAGCCGAAGGCGTCGGGCTCACGATGTGGCGGGAAGTTGTCGCGGGTATAGTGGATATCCGGTGGGGATAGGAGGCGGAGGTGTTTCAGATGGGGGTGTGTGGCGATATGGGTCTGGAGACGTTGTTAGTCTTCGCTATTAGAGTTGTTGGGAGATAAAAGGGTTGCTTACCAGATAAGTCTTCTGGTCGAATACCATGTCGGAGCCGGGCCGGTCTGGCACTAGATAAGAGAGTGGGTTGGGATCTCGGATCGGGTGGAGGGATTGGCGGGGGAAGTGTACGGCGAGGCCTTCGAGATAGGGGAGTGATTTTAGTATTTTTTCCAGATCCTTCGGGGGGTAGAAGGGTACGCGGTCTGTAATCTGGCCGTCTATGCCGAGTTGGCGGAGGGAGGTGTGGCGGACGATACAAGATACATCGACCAAGCGTCCGTCTGCCATGTCGAGCCAAAGCTTTTCCAGGCTGTTGAAGGGGTTGAGGAGTGCTTCGACAGCTCGTATGGTGTATTCCAGTGGAGAAGAATTCCGAGCCATCGTGATGTTCAACTCAGTGAGGTTGCAAACGGGCGCAAGTACTGTCATGAGATCGACGATGCTCTCGCAATCCACGAGCTGAAGACATTTGAGTTTGGATAAGTCGACGTTGCCCTGCATTAGAGCTGCAGCTCTTCGCTCCAAGACCACCTGCTCCAGGCTCATCCGTGATAACTTGAGTCGAGGAGGCGCACTGCCACTTTCAAACGGCCCTCCGAAGACGGTCCAGTCTGGTCGTGCATCTGGGCGGTCAGGATACGCCATTAGACTGAGGCAACCAGGACGTGTCACAATCCTGAGTTCTTTGAGATTCGGAGCGCTGCGCACGAGTAGTTCAGCCGCCTTGCATTGTTCGCTGCCCATGTCATCGGGCATCACGGTGAGCGACTCGATGCTCGCAAGCCGAGAGGATATCCACGATTTGTGAGCTCCGTGTGCGTAGCTTACGTTAGAAGTACCAAGCCCCAGATTGAAAAGAACATCGAGCCGCTTCAGCTTCGTCTGATGCTGCAGCAAATGCAACAAAATCCCTGTGGGTAAATTGACTTCCCCAGCTAGAGCACACAGTGCCTCCTTGGGAAGTTCGTTGATGATTGCCATGAGTAGCATCTGCGTGGAATAGTCGCATGCGCCGTACAGCTTCTCGGTGCCAACGCGGGCGATGTAGATACTTTTTACGTGGGGTATGACGCCGTTCCCAGGCTCGAGGATTGTGTTCAGCATCTCTGGGGTGATATTATTCGACGCTATCGTAAGGTTCGAAAAAGCCATTGGCGTGATGATGTCTCGCCATTCGTGGTTGACGAGACGAACGGCTGCATTGGTGGCTTTGTCGCGTACGGAGGCGAAGATGTTGGTCTTCATCTCTGCCGGGAGGCTTGAGAAGCTAGCTGGGCCCGATGATTCGGTCATCTTGAATGAGTTGAAAGTTGGTGTGTGGTCAGGAGTGACAACAAGGCAGATGAGTTGAGTGGGTTGCGCTTGTCACTGGTGGAGCGCAACGAGTTATGGTTCCAAAGAACGGCGTGAGAGCCCAGACAACAGTCCGAGTGAAAGGCTCTGGAGGCGCTGACGACGTTTCTTCTCATTGTTCGCAGTTGATGAGTGAATGGGAAGGGATGTAAGGAGCGAGTTGTCATCGAAAGACCCCGCTACTGCCTGAAGCTGTGACATATTGTTCGCAAGGGCACACTTTTCTAGCAGCGCTGAGTTCTTGAATCGAGATGTCTGGTTGAGTTCCTTCATCTCGAGGTCCGCGGCAGCCCATCGAAGGGGAGTTGATAAAGTCAGCTGCTTCGCGAACGGGTTCTCGTTGTTCTGACCAAATGCAGCCGGACCCAATTGGTTTACGGAGCCGATGAACATTCGTAGACAGGCGTCCCAGAAGTGGCTGAAGAAGCCAGCAATCTCGGCATTGCTGGCGCGTCCAGTTCCTTCCAAGAACACGGCGTGAGATTGACGGATGACGTTGAAGCTCGGGGTCGTGGCGACAGACGCGGTTGTACATAGCACCGCTGCCTTCCCAATCAGCGCGCGAATGCCAAGCTTCGCTGCGGCTTTGACTGAGTTGACAAGGAGCAAGATCCTTTTGGAGACTACAAGTAACTGACCGCTTGCAGATATTTCGACACAGCTCATCAAGACGAAGACATGCGGTTTTGCGGATACCAGCACGTTGCGCCTGAGATCATGTAGCAGTCTGGCTGAGCGATCCTGCCCAAGTAATGGGAGTTGCGAGAAGCTCTTCAGACTGATCGAAGCCGCGTAACTGTGAAAGCTGTAGGAGTTGCGGGGTTCCTGTAGAGGTGCAAAGTCAGTGTGTGTCTTACGCATCTGGTACATTGGGGACTTACCTTGAGAGAGGCCGGAACAGCGTCACCAAACTTGGGCTTGCCATCGCCATCGCCATCGCCATCGCCATCGTCGGCCTCTTGCTCTAGCGAGACAAGCATTGAGACGCGACCATTGATGTTGAAGAGCTTGACGAACGAGTTGCGCTTGGCCTCCGCTTGATTGATAATGAGGTTGGCGCTATCCGTAATGAGTGGAAGAGCGAGCGACTCGGATGAGGGTAGTAGAAGTTGGTCGCAATGGTGAGTGAAGAGTAGAGGGGAGAGATTGTAGAGGGTAAGATTGAGGTTGTTGTGAGAGACTGCCTCTGTGGGTGAGTGCCTGCCAAAGCGCACGAACCCAAGTTGCAAAGGCAACGATAACAGCGCGCTTTGGCGAAAAAACTCTGCAAGGCAGGTGGAGGCGAGAGCGACCGTGACATTTGAAAAATGTGGGAGTGTTGGTTGGCTTGTATGGCTCAAAGGGCTGCGCTCGCATGGTGACGCGATAACTTGTCGAGAGACTCTGCAAGGCCAGTGAAGGTGAGAGTGACTGTGATTGTTGGATAAATATAGGAGTGTTGGTTTGTTTTAGTGCCTCGATCGGCTGCGCTCGCATGGTGACGCGATAGCTTGTCGAGCGTGTGCGAGAAGACGATTCTGAGACGGTCGCGCAAGGGAAGCAGATTGCCACCAAGTACTCACACTCTCAGGCGTATTTTTCTCGCACTCGCTTTTGGGTGACCATCAGTGGCGAGGATAATCAGAAAGTTGAGGGGGTGTTGGTTGGGTTCGTTGCCTCGAAGGGCTGCGCTCGCATGGTGGCGCGAAAGCTTGTCGGGCGACTGCGAGAAGACGATTCTGAGAAGGTCGCGCAAGGAAGCAGGTTGCTACCGAGTACTCACATTCTCATATGTCTTTCTCGCAGTCGCCATCGTTGGAGAGGAGGGGCGGGTGGTGGTGAGGTGGTGGTGCGGATTGGGTTGTTATAGCGTCGACGTCTTTTTATTTAGGCAGCAGCGGAAGTCGCAGTGACTCACGTTTGCTTATTGTAAGGTGAGTGACCATAAAAACAAGGTGACGTCAATGCATGTTGGCAAAGTTGAACGTGAAGCCGCCTTCACCCGCTTGTCTTGCTAGCTTGAGCAACTCGGCATGGCAACCGTTGAGCATAATGCTGTTGCCTCCCCCGATACCGGAGACGCGACATGCCCCAGAAGTACCTAGGTACTTTGCCATTCCTTCTGTCGTAAGTCCGTGCTTGATATCAACTCATCTTCCCACACACAAAAGGCTGAAGGTGTCCACGCCGCATAGTAGTCCTGCTGAAAAGCCCAGCAATGTGTAGCCGGTTCCCCGCACTCGCACCCTCTCATTTCAATTCAATACTGGCTACTGGTAAAGTTCCCCGCCGCACGCGAGGTACCTGACGAATACTGCAACCTGATGCATGAGCGTGCTGTATGTGTATCGCTCAAAGACATTCCTATGCAATTTTCTTTGGCCTCTTTGAGAGAATGTTACCCTGAGTTTATGCAGGACAGACTGCGTGAGTGGGTCAGCGGTGTTTACGTTTTAATGCGCCATTACGATGATATCAGGACAATCGTCGTCAAAGTATCGATCTCTGGCAGAGTTGGAACCCGCGTGGGATGTGATGAGGACGACGAGACAACTGCTGTAGATGACGCTATATCACCCGGTGTCAGTGGCGCTATGGTAAGGTCTACTACCGATGAGCTGCACTTGAGAGGCGTAGAGATTGAACTCCGCCTGGATGTCCTAGACTATGACTGTCCAAGTAGGACTGACTTGCGTATGCTCGCCACCCAAACTGACGATGGTCTCTTCGGCGAGATGTCGAGTGCTACGGTCCTGCTCGTGGTTAGCACAAGAGGCCTGCGACGAACAAGCATGTAGCAGAGGTGACAAGCGTGCCCACCGATATTCCATCTGAGTCGTTAATTAGACAGGGATTAATGATCATAGATAAAGAGACAGGCGCCTACGTTGTCACGATCGGTAGAGATAGCCTAAAGGGTATGACGGGGCCCGTATTCCGACTCGTAATGCAGCAGCTGGTCTGCGAGTTCACTGCTCCAAGTAGGTCCCGCTGTCATATATGACATGGATATCTCAAGGACATTTGTAAGCCTTGCCTATCAGTACGAAGCGCATGTGTGGTTTCTACCGGCAGCACTGAGAGACACATGGAGGTCTACGACCAGGTCGGGTATGGCATACAAGTACGCGAAAACGTTCAGCGACGGCACTGGAGACTGCTGCATTCTAGGCTCCAAAGGAGAACCGGGTGGGGTAGGTATAGAGGATGACGGAAGCCTATGAACGTCGTTTGCGACTATGGTGTTGGCGTCTTCAGGTTCGATTCAATATGTAAGGTTCGGAAGACTCTCCACTACATACTTAGGGTAGCATGTACTTGACGAGATGTGTAGATTCGGTAAACTCACTTGCTGCCTTTGGCAATCCTAAGTTTCCCAACGCCATTGGTGCCTCCAACTATATCGCCTCCTTCATGTGCCAGCTCGACGGCGAAGTATGAGCAAGTGGTTGTGGTCTCGCAACCATTCTTCTATGCTGCAGCTGACAATACAGCTAGAGGATGCTCACTGTGCTGAAACCGAGACATGTATACGTCTGGGGCTACAATGATGCTTCCCAGAGTCAATGAAGGATGCTTTGTATGCTGCAAGGGAAGAGGGGCCAGGCTCGAAGTAGAACGAAGCATTTTTGTATGCTGCATACCTGTATACAACGGCCACGACACTACCAGCAAGTAAGCATGGTTTGCACAGTAGAAATCTGCAGAAGGGAGCTAGAGTGACTTCGAGAAAATAAGATGTTCGTGGAAGACCGATGGTAGCTCATCCCACCTCCTTCTAAAACGGTACGACAAGACGCAATGACGCAAGTGTTTTCGCGGTGATAAAACTCGAAGTACCGCCGAGTTCAACATTCTCCATGAACGCGATACTGGTTTGGCATTCCGATGACTGGCGAAGTTTTTGTGATGTCCCGATGTGATCGGATGACTTGAGACGGCTGCCGTCGGAGGGGTACTGAAGAGCGTCAGACAGCGACAACCGACACCGACATACGGTGTCAGCCAGCATCACGAAGCTGCTGCAACACCAACGTCACGCATCCAGCCATGGCAGCCTTGGAAAGGCATCTCGGCAGCCCTAGAAGCCAGGCGAGGCTTCGCGAACCACGGCTCTTGTGCCAATAGCGGGCAGCGCGATGGAAAATTCGCCGCCTGGAGTTTCGGGCCCCACGTTCTTCGAGGGCCCTCGCCGCTAGTTGTTGGCCCGAGCCAGGTTCCGTCCCCGAGATTACCCGACCTAAAAATGGCGGACCCTGACAATGGTGCCTCGCAGAAAGGAGAGGGTGGGAGGCTTGCGCTGGAAGAGGCATGTGAACACTTGTACATCCCCACAGTGGATTTTCCATGTTGAATTGACGGCTGCGGGCTGCCTTTAGACGCACTTTCGTCAAGCCATAGGCATTGTGTGGCTGCTACGGCAACGCTTGTGGGGGTTCCGTTGGGATCAAGAGGCAGAGAACCGTGAGTTGGATGCAGAGCAGGCCGTAAACATAGAGCAATTGGAATCTACAATAGGTCAATTGCAATGCGACGACCCCCATGAGAACCTTTTCCATTCACCATTGTCCCAACCCGCGTTTCCGAGGTGTTGATGAGGGTGCGCTCGGGATAGCGGGCAAGGCCACTAGCACGTGATTGGCTTAGTGCGAATTAGCGCTGCTGGCAGAATTTGTCGCAGCTTCGCTACAAATACACCGTTCTTCCCTCAACGCAGCACAAGCATCTGCAACTTCACCTTTTCTCAACCAATCTCCCCTCCATACATCATCCAAGATGTCGGGCGCACAGCAGGGTGTGTATTACATCGACGAATTGCACGAGACGACGCTGACCAGATTGCAGACAAGTCCCTTTTCGGGATGCCAGGTTTCGTGGTGGACTTCTTGAGTACGTTTTATCTCCATCGACAGGTTCATCAATCCGTCTGCCATTGGCAATTGGATGTGACGCGAGCGTTGTCGACCAAGTTTTGCTCTCGCAACAGCCACTAACAGCTTATCAGTGGGTGGTGTTTCCGCCGCCGTCTCGAAGACCGCTGCTGCCCCCATCGAGCGTGTTAAGCTCCTCATCCAGAACCAGGTAAGCATTATCACAACCTCGACCCCCGCATGTCGACAATTGCTAATCCACCCCGCAGGATGAGATGCTTAAGTCCGGTCGTCTCGACCGCAAGTACGATGGCATTGGCGAGTGCTTCAGCCGTACCGCTAAGAACGAGGGTGTCCTCTCCCTCTGGCGTGGTAACACTGCCAACGTCATCCGTTACTTCCCCACCCAGGCGCTCAACTTCGCTTTCCGCGACACCTACAAGTCCATGTTCGCCTACAAGAAGGAGCGTGACGGTTACGCCAAGTGGATGGCCGGTAACTTGGCCTCCGGTGGTGTAAGTACAATCGCTCAATGTCTGGCAAATCACAATCTAACAACAACAGGCTGCCGGTGCCACTTCCCTCCTCTTCGTCTACTCCCTCGACTACGCCCGTACCCGTCTCGCCAACGACGCCAAGTCGGCCAAGAAGGGTGGTGAGCGCCAGTTCAACGGTCTCGTAGACGTCTACAAGAAGACCCTCGCCTCCGACGGTATCGGCGGTCTCTACCGTGGTTTCATGCCCTCCGTTGCTGGTATCGTTGTCTACCGTGGTCTGTACTTCGGTATGTACGACTCGATCAAGCCCGTCCTCCTCACCGGTTCCCTCGAGGGCAACTTCTTGGCCTCTTTCGCTCTTGGTTGGGCCGTCACCACTGGTGCCGGTATCGCCTCCTACCCCCTTGACACCATCCGTCGCCGCATGATGATGACCTCCGGTGAGGCCGTCAAGTACAAGGGTACCATGGACGCCGCTCGCCAGATCGTTGCCGCCGAGGGTGTCAAGTCTCTCTTCAAGGGTGCTGGTGCCAACATTCTCCGTGGTGTTGCCGGTGCCGGTGTCCTGTCCATCTACGACCAGGCCCAGCTCATCCTCTTCGGCAAGAAGTTCAAGGGTGGATCTGGTTAAGCGCCTTTCTTCCCTCTACGATACCCCCAACCTGCGTTTATGTGGTGGAAGCAGTTATTCGCGACGTGAGAGATGGGGATGGGGTGTACGTGTATGAGAACGGCAACACGCCCTGCGGGCCGACGGTTGTTCTTGGTTACGAAAAGCACGATCCCGGGTGGTAATACACTCTTGTACTTTATACATTCACACGTCATATCCGGCTTGCAATGCTTCATCTGTTTCTGGCTGTACTTCCTCTTTTCATCGCTTGGTGCAATGGGGAAAATAGTGGTCTATAGAAAGTCATGGGTTTCTTTGTATGAACAAATTGCTTCTACCATGAGTGATGCACTGCTCTCCTGACTGCCTTTGCTCATGTAACCCCTCTCCAAGCCTAGCACGTGCTCAGAACCCGCCGCCATTTTTACCCTGAACAGCCCTCCACACGCTCTCCTCGCCCTTCTTCAGTGCCTCACCCGCCTTGTTCAGCATGCTCCACGCCTGCGCCCCAACGCCCTCGCCCTCGTTGTCTCCCGCTCCGCTCGACCCACCAATGCCTCCTCCAGCGGTATACGGTGCATTATCCATCGCCTGAACATAGCCCGGCGGATGTTCCAAGCTCGTCCTCGTCGGCTGCGCTTGATCAGCCGTTTGGAACGGCGACGCAGCAGGGCCGTAGTTGAGCGTCGTAGGACCGGGCTTACTAGCAGCAGCAGAAGGCGTAGTAGACGTGATTGTCGACCTCCCCGCCAACATGGAGTCTGAAGGCGGAGGATGACTGAACTGCGGCGGTGGCGGTGCTTGCCGTGTCTCCGTCGTTATAACCGTTGCTGTTGGGACGGCGCCTGCTTGCGGCGCTGCTGGTGTGTATCGGTCGTTTCCTTCTGTCATTCCGACTGAACCTGTTGGTGCGGCGGGACGGGCGCCGGGCTGTGGAGCGGGTGGGTTCGACGATGCATCTTGTGTTGTTGTGGCGGGGGCGTAGGCGGGCGTTGTGCGTGTGGGAGGGGGGTTGGAGGCGTTGTCGGGGTCTGAAGATGCGGTTGAAGGAGTGGTGCCGTCGGGTTTTGCGGCGGTGGTGGGCGCGATGGGCGCGTTTTTGTGGATGGGGATTGGGGGCATGTTGGGGGTTGTTTGTGAGGATCTGGGGTGTTGTGTGAGGTGTGGGTGGTTTGTGTGGAGGTGGTGAGTATTGTGGACGGTGTAGTCGCAGTAGAGCGGATCGTTACTTCATGAGTTACTGAACGGTGTAGTAGGTGTTCTGAAGGCGATCTAGAGTTATGGACACGTTGTAGAAACTGTTTGTTGCTGCCTTGTGCTGTGCTCTGCTGGCCTCTTCGACGCGTTCTTTGGTTCAGATGAAGGTGCTTGCTGCTTTGGGCGATGATGTCATCTACCACGTGAAACCTTCTTTCGACCTCTGCAGCGCTGGTCCCTCGCTCGACTTCACTCCCAAATGTCATTCCCATGCTTATGCACTGCGACATCAGAGCCCAACACGCTTCGCACCCGTTGTGTAGCCTCGGTGTGAGTACACCCAGGTAGCAATGACATTTAAACAAAGGTACTCACTCTCAACTGTCATTCTGTCCATGACTGGCCGGATACACGCATATCAGCACTGAGATTACCAATTTCTTCCTTTGTCGTTATTTCTTTTCCCATGCATATTGATATGTAGCTATGCCAAGCCTCTGAGCGGCTGTTCGGCGCAGTCGAAACCACACTCACAGGTCAAGAGAAGCTTCACGGCTTCGTATCCGTTTCGTCCCTTCCTCGATCCTTCTCTTTAACCAATTCCCATGTCGCTTTGCCCATCTCAATCTGCTATGGCATCAAGTGCATGCTGCTGTGTGCTTTGATCAGGAGTTGGGTCCCACAAAGGACCGATGGTGATGGATCAACAGTCCAGACGCTTCGGTAAAGCAAGAGATTTCGAGCCTTCTCTAGAAACGAAAATTTGCCTACGCTTCTACGCTGCGACGAACCGCACACATTGATACGGCCGAAAGACTTGCACATCGTCATACCTCCTTCGGAGTACCTCTCATATCGGTCGCTCTGCACGCAGCCCGACAGCCGCCCACACCAGATGGAACGTGGCACCACAGATCCATATTTTCAAGATTGAACAGATGCATCAGGACCATCTCCGTTCTTTCAATACTTTCGATACATGTGGTTTACTGATCAATCACGACTCAAGCCGCCCGCTCCACCACTGAATCGGTAGCGATACCAGCAAGCGCCCGCCATGTCTCCACAGGTCCTCTAGCCAAGACGTTCCTGCGGGTGCGCAGTTACGGTGTTCAAGTGTGCCCTTGTTTCGAACGACGTCCTTCGCAATCTCACATCGTGAAAAGTGGAGTTACCCGCGCCTGTTTGGGTTAGTCGTTTCAAACAGGATCCTTCCGCATGGTTGCCAAGAATGTTCGACATGTCGCGACGTTTGTCCGCTGTACGGAACCCAGCGAGGGAAGAGTGCTCACCCGAGATCGTGAGCGGTAGCCCTGGTATTCCATTGTGGCGGGTCCTTCGGCGGAGCGTATTGGTGCGAAGACGTTGAAACTATTGTGTCCCGAGCGTCTATGCCGTCGGTAAGGGCCTGTCCACGGCGGGGACACCATACCTAGACAGCCAGCACCGATGCGAGCGGGTACCAGACGCAGTATATAAGGATGTGCGTGACCGTCCACTGAGATCTTCGGCAGCAAAGCTCTTCCATTCATTTCTACAACAACTCCAGTCCTTCGCTTTTCCCCTTTCACATTCATTTTCCAACTTGATCAACATACTTCTTTCGACAATGAAGTTCTCAATCATGTCTCTCGGCCTCATGGCTGTCTCTGCTCTGGCAGCACCCATGCCATCTCAGATCGCACCCAAGCGTGCCGGTCTCACCAAGCGCGCTGCATCTCTGGAAGATGTCGCGACCACTGGTTTCGCCACGCAGAACGGAGGTACCTCTGGAGGAAAGGGAGGCAAGACCATCGAGGTTGGCTCTCTCAGCGACTTGGAGGCCGCCGTCAAGGGCGACGACGCCGCCATCGTTCTCATCACCAGCCCCATCAAGGGAAGCGGCGAGAACGTCAAGATCGGCAGCAACAAGTCCGTCATCGGCAAAGACTCGTCCGTCGTCCTGACCGACTTCACCCTCACCGTCAAGGCCGTCAAGAACGTCATCCTCCGCAACTTCGCCATGGAGAAGGTCGTTGGCGGCGACGCCATCGCCATCCAGAAAGCCCAAAACGTCTGGGTCGACCACGTAGACCTCTCCTCGGACCTCGACCACGACAAGGACTACTACGACGGTCTCCTCGACGTAACCCACGCCGCCGACTACGTCACCATCTCCAACAGCTTCATGCACGACCACTGGAAGTGCTCTCTGGTCGGCCACTCGGACAGCAACGGCAGCGAAGACAAGGGCCACCTCACCGTCACCTACAACAACAACTACTGGAAGAACATCAACTCGCGCGGCCCCTCCTTCCGCTTCGGCACCGGCCACCTCTACAACAACTACTACGAGAACGTCAGCGATGGTATCAACACCCGCCAGGGCGCGGAGCTCCTCGTTCAGAACAACGTTTGGTCTGGTGCTAAGAAGGCGCTTTACAGCAAGGATGGTGGCAAGGCTGTTGCTGAGGGCAACGACTTTGGTGACAGCGAGAACACTGCTGATAAGGGTTCGCTGACCAAGATGCCTTATGAGACTAAGGAGATGCTTGAGGCGGGGGCTGTTAAGGCTGCTGTTGTTGGTACTGCTGGTGTTACGCTCAAGTTCTAAGCTCGAGGTGTATGTGCATTTTGGGTGCATGACATGATCATTCGGGTTGGAAAAGAAGGGGATTTTGAAGACTTCGATTTGTAAATATTTGGTCGATCGACCTTTTCGTGTATATATGGACGCTGTGCGGACTGTTTTGAGCAATGAAAAGGACACCTTTTTGTTATTTCTTCATTCGTACGTGCTTTTTGCTTTTGTGTGGTTACTATCACTGCGTTCTTACACTTCAGTCAGCTCTTTGGGTGATGTGTCGTGTTTGGCTTCCCTCGCAGAGATTTAGTAGACCTGTCGGTCTCAAGATCACCCCCACGCCGCTAAGCATCCTTGGCGGACGTATAAAGTCCCTCTTCTTCGCACATGCTCTCTTCCTTCCACCAACAACTTCTCCATTTCCGTTCTACCATAAATCTCATACGAGCATCACATGATCTTCTGCTGTCGGACTCAAAACATAGCTGACGAGGTTCTTATGTCTCTTCTCTTTTCCTAAAACAATCCAAGACACCTACATGTAGCAAACCCGATTGAGACAGCTATATTTCTTGCGACGAACCTCATGGGCGAGAGCCATATAAGACTCTCTTCGAGCTCTGTCTCTCCTCTTTACAAACTTCCTTCTTTTACCAAAATCAAACGACATCATGGAACGCCTATGGGCGCTCTCCGCCCCAAAAGACACGTCAAAAGAAGCCATGTGTGAGACGTGACAAGAATATCCAATATCAAGAAATCATGTTGAGCCAGTCTCTGGAAAGATTTCGCTACTATGTTTATGACCAGCCTGTCGCTCCACGGATCGCATGTAAACTCAGCTCTTCTTCTCAGTTTTTTCTCTCCTTTACACACACATCTTTGCTCCAAAACTAGATATCGCAACGATGCTTTCCATGGCCTTTCTCCTCTCTTTAAAAAAAAAAAACGCAGTCCCCAATGCCATGTGCGAGGCGCGACGAAAGCCTTCACAACCACGACATCATGTTGAACCAGGCTTCCAAAATTGGGATTGGTAGTTCCGATGGCTCGCCTAGCGCCCTGCGGGTTTCACATATATAACTGCATCTTCCACTCTCCCTTCTATTTCTTCAAACATCTGCCTCTTCAGTTTGGCAATACTCAAAATCTCATTCTACCGAATCATGGCTGTTCTCCCCTCCAAAAAGCTACAAGCTCAGAAGTCATGTGGAAGTCGCGACGAGAAAAGAACAGGTGATCGTTCTTATGTCGAGCCAGTCTCTCAAAAACTCTGACGATGTTCTCTATAGGCAGCCTGGAAATCTGCGAGTATCGCATATGAGATGAAGTCCTCTTTTCGGCGTTCTACATTTTTTGCACACATATCTCTCCATGCCAGGAACAAAATCACTATACTAGATTGCAATGGCTATCTTTGCTTTGTAAAGATCTGCCAACAAAGAAATCCATGAGCTTCGACAGAAAGTGCTGTCTCCACGTATTGATTTGAGCCCGTCTTCCAAATCCTACAGCGGTATTGTTCATGAACAGGTCAGACTAGCGCCTTGCCCGCGGCATGTATAAACTCGCCTTTTGTCCTCTACCTTCTTTCTTCTTATCACACATACCTGCCTTCTTGTTCTCCAGAATGACGTTCTACTTCCCGCGATGTGGTTTTCTTCCTCTCCAGAGTTCACAAAATATCTGTAGACTGTGTGATGTGCGAGATGCGATCGAAAGCAACGAGGCGCAGTATCATGTCGAGCCTGTCTACCAAAACATCCAAGAACAATGCTATGTGTGATCTCGGGCTTCCTGCGTACACGATGCACAGAATTTGCGTGTTCTTTCCTCTGCTCTTTCTTCACACTTTCGACTCACGAAAACCAAAGATCCATGACTTGTTGTCAATGTTCTCTTCCTCTCCTCTTCTTAAAACATTCTTCGTGAGGCTACATGTGTGTGTCTCACCATAAAACTGCCACACTTTCGCAATATGCTGTGTGGCTTCTGTGTAACACAGAATCACCAAGAGCAAAACTATGTCGGCTCTAGCCCGCCGCGAGTGCTACATAAACGCCTCGCCTTCTCCCCTCTGCTCTCTTTCCATGCAGTTCATTATCTTCAAAATCAGAAATTGAGCTCGCTCTTGCTGATGTTCTTCCTTTCTTCTTCTCAAAACATTCTTCGTGGGGATACATGTGCTCGTCTCACCACAAAACTGTCGCAATCTCATTATATGCTGTGCGGTCTCTTCTCGACACAAACAACAGCATCAAAAAGCACATGACGAGTTCCTGGCTCATCGCGAGCGACACATAAAAGCCTCGCCTTCTCGTGTACCTCTCTTCTTCTTTACACCCCTCTTCATCATTTCCAA